AATTATTAATTAGATACAAAAGAACATCAAATAATAATTTTTTGACGGAAACCATGAACTTATATATAATATAATCTAGATATGGTAATATATATTCACGGATAGCTCGATTTCATCTTTCTTTCCCAACAGATTTTTTATCCAATTAATATTTAGATACAAAAGAATATCGAATAATATTTTTTTCAATGTTATACAAATACAATAACAACAACAACAACCCAGTATAATCCCACTTAGCGGGGTCCGAGGAGAGTAGTGTGTACGCAGACCTTACCCCTACCCTAAGGTAGCATTCCTTATTGACGCCGGCGTCGCATGAGCATGGCCGACCCAAAGGGCACTGCCAAATGTTATACAAATAGNGAATATCGAATAATATTTTTTTCAATGTTATACAAATAGAATCCAACAAATAGATTTCATAAAAGTGCCAAGTGGCTTTTTCTCAATACGCCACTTGGCTTAACTTCATGCTTCATTACTCTCCTTTTAATATAATATAGATAGATTGAGTAAGATCTTATTTTGCTGCTTGACTTTATCTAATTTTTATACTCAATAAATTTTTAATATCATAAATAAAATTTAATTTAATTTTATATTTTAACATACTCCAAAATATAAATGGTCATAGATTATCTCAATTTACGTATTTCTGTATTTTTTATTTTTTCTATTATAGTTTTTTAATGTTTTTCACTTCCATATTTCTAGCTAATATAGAAAAAAGCTATGAGTGGATCAATATATAGATATAAATATAGATATACATATAGATACAAATATATATGTATAGATTAGATTTGTCTAAGATCTATTTAGATTATGTATAAGATTCATTAAACTACTTCCATTAATTATATTTTTATTTATAATTTTTAATAATTAATGTTGTCTTAAAATTGCCAAGTGGCTTCATTTTGGCTTGCCACTTGACTTAAACACATGCTTCACTACTCTCCTTTTAATATAATATAGATTTTACGGTTCACAAATCAAAGAGATGCACGTAAATATTTGCCATTGTCTTTCTTGTAACTTATGATTTACTTTCAAACATGGTATACACCAAATGGCTATTCAGGGTTCGTCATTCTCATAGCCGCAATGCTTCTTATATTTCTAAAGAAAACAAAGATAATTAGAATACGGTCAGAAAGCCTTTAATCTTCTGCATCTAGAAGATTAGTAACCTGGTAAATAAAGTAAGTAATTTTGTTACAATAATTTGAATTCTGAACTGCGCTTATTTGTAAAAAATAAATTTGCATTGGCAACGCATAAATGTTAAAACTATCGATGCAGAAGGCAATCCAAAAAAGAATTAGACTTTAAAGATTTTAAAATATGAAAAAGTATTTTGGAACAAATTACAAGGAAAATAGCGCTTATGTCGGGTGTGTTTGGTACGAAGGAAAAATGTTTTTCAATTTTTCCATGTTTGGTTGGCTAAAATGTTTTGGAAAATATTTTACTTATCAATTGATTTTCCTCCAATTGGAGGAAAATGTTTTCCTTATCAAGAAAAAGGAAAACATTTTTCGAAGCTCTTTTTCAACCTTCCCCACCCTCACCACCCCACCTCCTCTCCAAAAAAAAGGTTTTTATTTTATTTTAAATTTCAGTTTTTCCGTTACCACCACCCTACTACCCCTTCACCCCTCCCACCCCCATAATTTTTTTTTACTTTTTTTTTGTAATTTAAATTTCTGTTTTTTTCGTTTTACTGCCCCGCCCCCTCCCCTCCCCCCGAAAAAATTTAAAATATATTTTTCAGTTTTAATTTTATTATTTATCGGTTTAAAGGCTCAAAATTTTACAAGTTCCAAAATTATGAGTTCGGAGTTTTATGTGTTTGGAAGTTTACGAGTTTAAAAGTTATAAAGTTTATGAGTTCGAAATTCCGCGGTTTGAAAGTTTAGTAGTTCGAAAGTTTATGAAATTTGTGGGTCTGAAAGGTTGTTGGTTTAAAAGTTTATGACTTCATATTTATTATATCTAAATTATTTATAAATACTTTTAAGAAGTCATTTTCCTTAATTTGCGTATCAAACACCGAAAAATAAATAAGATTACTGCTTATTTTCGAAGAAAACATTTTCCGTTATACCAAACACACAAAACATGTTTGCCGCTGGTAGGGTGAATTCATTCCGTAATTCCAATAGAGGGGTAGGGGTGAATTTGAGTTCTACTCACAAGTCAAACAGGATAAAGAGCAGTGTCTCATTTTCCCTTACTCTTTCCTAGAGTTGACACTCTCCGTCTCCTTCCACAGCTACGCCGGTTCCTTCATCCTCAAATCCTCCTCTTTCCGACGTCGTTTTCGCCTCTCTTTGTAGCCAAGGTCAGTCTAAAATTGTTACCCCTATCTCTTTTTCCGATTACATTGATTTTAAGTTATTTCAGTTTGATGTTAATGGGTGTTGATAAATGCACCTTGGGCCTAATTTAATCCCTAAAGCTAGTTCATGAAGTGAGGATTACCCAACACCATATAAGGAGACCAAGAACCTCAAATCGCACGTATGTAGGACAACTCAACTTGTCACTTGTGTTACATTATATTAAGCCTTATTTTATGTCCCATTATAGCTATTCTTATTGAGTATACCAAAGTGCATATTTTTCGTTCTTGTCATGATTTTTGTAAGTCTCATACCTGTTTTAGATGGGCAAAAGTTTAAGGTAGACATAGATTTGATTGAAACTTGAAAAAAGAGTTTTTGAAGTTGTGTTGAAATATAATTTTTGAAAGTTGAAGTTGTGTTTGGACATGCATTTTATTTGAAGAAAAGTTGAAATTTTGTGAGTGGAAGGAAAATTTTCACCCAAAAACTACTCTAAACCAAAATTTGGGAACTTGGAAATTTTTGAATTTTTTTCCCCAAAACATTATCATATTTCATAAACAAACAATGTTTTCAATTTTTTTTTGAAAAAATGAAGCCACAATCTATGGCCAAAAGGGAGAAACCTGATGAAGTAGCACCATTATTACAATTTAGATTATTGCAGCTAGTAGCTTCTGTTTTTCATATGTGTATACGAGTTCTATTGTAATTGAGTAATTCAGAAATTTGATAGTGTTAAAATAGATGGAAAGCAGATCCGGATGATAATCTTGATGCATCTATCATAGGAAAAAAAGGGTGCAAAACTTTTGTATTCTTGAATTGATTGATCAATGAAATTAAGAAGAAAAAGAAAATAGATGATAATTGGCTGCTTGCGCAAGCTGATCTTTGTTGAGCTTGATTAATTGTTGTCCTTGTTTTGCTGTTAAACAGTACCCTGGCTATTGGGAGGGAACATATTTAGCTGTTATTTGAGGTGTTTGCTGCCATGGCTGGTGAAGATTCAAATAGTAAGTAATTCTCATTAGTTGACTGCTTATGCAAATTTCCTGTTCTCACTCTTCAAAATTTTCAGTCTGCACTTTGTAATATATCCTTCTTGCCTTTTGTTTAGAAGGAAAAAAGAAAGAAGTCAAGAAAGAGACAGGTCTTGGTCTCTCTTCCAAGAAAGATGAGAACTTCGGGGAGTGGTATTCTGAGGTAAGATTGGAATGTTCAACTATTAGAGATGCTAAATGTGATATTCATGGGTGCTTCTGAGGTTATTTTGCTTTGTGAAAAAAAAGAAGAGTTGGAATGTGAGCTTCCCATTGCCTCAAGCAATCCAATTTTTTCTAAAGTTACACCCCCCCTCCCCAAAAGCTTATTTATTTAATGTCTTTCATTTGGCATTACAAAACTAGTTAGTGCATGACATGGAGGTACCTAATTGGGGATTTCTTGGCGCCATGTTGGGCAGGGCAAGATTAATTTCTAGTCATCTCTTTATTTCTAGTCCGTTTCTACACATTTCTGAAACCTCTCTACCTTCACTAGGTAGGGGTAAGGTCTGCGTCCGCACTACCCTACCCAGACCCCACTTGTGGGAATATACTGGGTTTGTTATTGTTGTTCTGCACATTTCTCCATCTTCTTTGTTCCAGTATTGTTTTGGCGGTGCAAGTCTTTTGTCTTTATTCACTTTCAACAGAGCCGGAATTGATTTTCCTTGTTCCCTAACATGCATCAAAAGAATCTTTGGATAACATAGGCCAACCTGAAATTCCTTGGCAAAGATCTCTATGAGATGTTCTATTATTTCATAGAAATATATGTCCCTGGCGGCAAGTTGATCATTCATGCGCAAACATAACCGAAAAAGAAAGCTTCCCTTTTGTTACCAACCTTCTTCCCCTTACTGGTGTTTTAAACCTGCCTGTATCTCCAGTTTGTTAGTAAGTTTAATGCACTCTATCAGACAAGTACTATAAGTGAATAGCTCAATGTCATGTACGTTTTGAACAACAATTGACTTTGGTATATGTCTGCTTACTTGCGGATGCATTTCTTAAGATTCCTGCTCTTTTTATGTACTTCCTGTCTTATTGCAATTACAAGTTCCTTTTTATCACATATCATGATTTTTACTTCTCCTTGACTAATAATTGTAGGTGGTTGTTTGTGGTGAAATGATTGAGTATTATGATATTTCTGGCTGCTATATCTTACGGCCATGGGCAATGTCCATCTGGGAGATATTGCAAGTATGTCCCTCAAATTGATTGTTTTGTGTGGGCCTTATTCAGGATTGAATTCTTTTTATGTCAGCTATGTTGACAATTCTTTTGAAAAGGAGATGTTATCTACATGACTGACAATTTTTCACCCCTTTCTTCATTACATTTACAATGCATTCTTAATTCTGTTTCCAGGCCTTTTTTGATGCTGAAATTAAGAAGAAGAAGATAAAGAACTCCTACTTCCCTCTTTTTGTGTCCCCTGGTGTTCTACAAAAGGAAAAGGACCACATAGAAGGATTTGCTCCTGAGGTGAGGTGAGGCTCTTGTTGGCAAACTCGAGTTATTTTTCCACTCTGTGAAGCACTGGGAAGGCTTTGTGTTTTTTTTATACCTCTTTGTTTCCTTTCCATTTTCTGTCTTTTCGTTTTATGACACCTTGATTGTGAAACTGGATTTTATCTTCCAAAATATGTATATAAGCTGTTGCTGCTGCTTTTATTCTTCTTTCTTCAAGGGATAATAGTAAAATGTGAAAAGGACTTTCCATTTTCTACTCTTTTAAATTTCCTTCAAAGGCATCATATAGTTTAGAAAGTTACCACAAATTTGGGTGATGTATGATTCCTAGATGTAAGATACTTTGTTCAGTAGTGTTGTTAATTTCAACAACGGTAACTTCAATCATGGTCTTCAGTTTGTAGCATCCTCTTAAGCAATCTAAAACTGTATAGCATTTGTTCATCTACTATGCTCTATAATCGGTTGTCATCATTCTTTAGGTTGCTTGGGTTACAAAAACTGGAGAATCTGATCTGGAAGTCCCCATTGCGATTCGACCAACAAGTGAAACAGTGATGTATCCTTATTTCTCTAAGTGGATAAGGGGACACCGTGACTTGCCCTTGAGACTTAACCAGTGGTGCAACGTTGTGCGGTGGGAGTTTAGCAACCCAACCCCCTTCATCAGGTTT